TGAATGCGTGCACATGTCTCTTATCTGCTGGAATGCCCATCAAACAGACTGGTCAGAGCTAATAAGAACCCATGTTGTCTGAGGCACTGTAGTGGGTGGCAGCTACAGGAACAGCGACGTACTGGTACATTGCTGCCTGTTTCCAGGTTTGGGCCACTCACCTGCTCCCCTGTGCTTTGATACAGCAGGAGTCTGCAGATACCAGCCAATGATTCATGTCCGGGACCTGTTGATCATCTATGTAAAATCACAGTCTAGAGCTCTGTGCTAGAAAAGAACACAGAGCTCTATACAGAAGGAAAGATCTTTGTATTTCTTTTCCCTGCTAATCAGGGAAAATACATTAACACTTACACTAGGCACACAGTTAATCCCTTGATGTTAATTTCTTTCCAGCCAGTGTCATTAATACAGTGACAGTGTATATTTTTAGCACTGGTCACTGTATTAGTGCCATAGTGATGTTAGTGTCAGTTAGTCAGTGCCCACAAAGTATCAGTTTGTATCAGATTGCACAGTCCTTCTATAAGTGGCTGACTGCCGCCATTACTAGTATAAAAAAATAAATAAATAAAAATTCCAGTATATGTCTCATAGTTCGCAGATGCTATAACTTTCATGCAAACCAAGTATGATACACTTACTGGAATTTTTGTTTACCAAAAATATGTAGCAGAATACATTTTGTCCTAAATGTATGAAGAAGTTTGATTTTTTTTTTTACATTTTTATATTGAATACATTTTATAGCAGTAAGTAAAAAACATTGGGTTTTTTTTTTTTTTGTTTTGTTTTTTCAAAATTTACTGTCTTTTTTGCTTATATAATTAAAAAAAAACTCAGTAATGATCAAATACCACCAAAAGAAAGCTCTATTTCTGTGAAAAAAATTACATAAAGTTCATTTGGGTACAGTGTTGCATGACTGCGCAATTGTGAGTTAAAGTAGAGCAGTGCTATATAGCCAAAAAATGGTCTCGTCATGAAGGGGGTAAAATCTTATGGAGCTTAAGCGTTAACAAAAAAAAATACCACAATGAAAATCCATCATCAATCATATTATCCAACAATGCAGATCCTTGTCAATCATGATAAATGGCATCCGCCAGAAGAAAAAAGCAACCATCCAACACAGCTAATCCCATTGCTCTCTTGCTGCAATCTACAGCTGCCTAGCTGACTGACTAAGGTAAACAAAGGGGCAGTGTATCCTGTAGGGTAAGGAAGGGTATTCTTATCCAGTGGTAAATAGAATAGTTAAGGAGAAAAAAACAGCATACAGCAGATACATGGACACAGAAGTGTATAAAATAGACAACGGGAGACCAGACACATTATCATTGCTACCAATGCACAGAGAAATTATCAAATGGTCAAATCCATTAAGAAAAGAGGCAAATTTTTTTTTGGTACATCAGTACTTTAAGGAAAATATATCAGGGGATCAGAAAAATGAAAACTGGTCACAACATTATGTTGAGGGAAACCTGGATGTAGCAAACCATTTAAACAATTATTTCTGTTCAGTCTTATCAGAAATAAACAAAGTTCATTTTCAGGCTTTTTAGAGAAAGAGGTAGCAGTGGAACTGGTCTGGTTAAAGATTAATAGAGCAATGGGTCTTGATGGTATTCCCTTTGTTTTAAGAGAACTTCTAGGAAAAGTTGTTGGACAATTTAAAGTGATACTAAAGGCTTAATTTTCTTTTTTGTTTTAAATAACAAACACATCATACTTGCTCTGTGCAGTGGTTTTGCAAAAATAAGCCCCAATCTTCTCTTCTCGGGTCCCCCCAGGCCCCTCCCTCCTGTTGATTGCCCCCACAGCAAGCAGCTTGCTATGGGGGCACCCGCTGATTCATGTGTCCATTCAGAGCAGCTCGGCTCTGCCCCCTCTCTCTTCTCATTGGCTCAGTAGCTGTGATTGACAGCAGTGGGAGCCAATGGTTCTGGCTGCTGTCCCAGCCAATGAGAAGAGGGAGTCTGAGACTCCAGCGCACATTGCTAGATTGAGAGGAGGTTTGTGTGAGTATTGGGGTGGGCTGGAGACACTGCTGCACAGACAAGGTTTTTTAACTTTATACATAGAATGCATGAAGGTAAAAAACCTTGAGTTTTTACAACCACTTTAAACTAATACTAAACAGAGATGTGTTAATTGCCATGCATTATTCACATAAGTCATATACAGTATATCATGAAACTGTTTTGTTTTTGTTTTTTATTCCTTCACGTACCTTATTCATGCAGCATTGATGTGTGGTTGCATGAAATTTCCCTGTTCTTTGGCAACTGCAGGGAAAGATCCTTGAGTTAGGACTCTATTACTATGCTGATGTATGCTCCCTAAAGTATGAGTCTGTAGCTCTGATTGGTGCTGTGCCTGTCACATGGCTAAAGAAAAACAGTTTCAGAAGATCAATTCAAATTAAATAATAAATATAAAAAATAGCTCCCTATCAATCTTTATGGAACATCAAATGTATGTTTTTTATGCATCACAATGGTGTAGGCAGAGTCAAAGATGATTGGCACTACCTTTCATTTTGTTCAGACAGGATCTGCATCTAGGGTTCTATTTTCTTTTTACAGGTATTAACAATTAAATTTGATATATTTGATAATGGTTTATGTTAAAACTGCATTTTTTGTGAGTTTCTTAGTGAATGCAATCAATCAGCACACTCTATCCTGTCCCCATATCATGTTTAGCAATAGGAGGACATGGAGAAGGAGGGAGAGAGGGGAGCATCATTTACTACTGTGTTTATGCCCATCTCTGTGACTCTATAGTCACGTGGGCTACACAGATGACAAAAAAGAGGAAATTAAGAGCTTAGAAGGGAACTGAAATATGAGCATGCTCAGTACAGACATCTGGTCTACACAATCTCAGCTTGCAGTGGGGACACAGAGAAGATGGGAGAGATAGCTCAAGGCAGGGTCGGCCAGGTATATTTCACTCTACAAAAAAAATGAATGTTTTAGCAGTTTTGTGAGTATATAACGTAATGAGAGTTTTTTATTTTCTCGGTTTAATGACACGTTAACTAGTCTTTTTAGTCTTTCCTAATAGGAGATCCCCATGATTGATAGACAACTAATATTGTGTCTATCCACAAGAAAGGTAGCAAGTAGTAGAAAGCTGGCAATTACAAGCCAGTGGTTCTTACATCTGTTGTGGTTAAATGAATGGAATCACTCCTAAAGTGAAAGATCAGTGATCACTTAAGAACACACAGCCTGCTGGACCCAAAGCAGCATGACTTTACTGATGGCAGATCATGTCAGGATAATCTGATTGATTTTTTTTTTTTACTATATCACAAATATTTTGAACCAGGGTTGCGCTGTGAACATGGCCTATCTTGATGTCAGTGAAACATTTGATTCCACATAATGATCTCATGAAAAAGTTGTACAGGTATGGACCTAACCCTTGGGTGGTTCAGTGGACATGCAGTTGGCTAAAGGATAGATACCAGAATGTGATTGTAAATGTGTTCCTTCAGGCACTAGTGATGTACCACAAGGCTCTGTACTAGGTTCTGTTCTATATGATCTGTTTGTAAATAATATAACTAAAGGTTTGGTGGTTACATATGTCTTTTTGCTGATGACACACGTCTGGCCTTCTCTAATCCAAAATCCCTGGGGGTGTCTCTACATGATTTGACCTTGCTGGAAGATTGGTCAAAGCAGTAGAAACGTCAGTTAAATTATTCTAAACGTAAAATATTGCATCTAAGGAAATAATAATCCTTTGATAGGGCACAATATTGGGGGTACAATGTTGGCAAGAACGACAGAGGAAAAATAATTGGTTGTACTTATTTAACCACCTCCCGCTCGCCATATAAGGTAATGACAGGTGCAAGCCGGTTCTCTCGTTCTCTCATATGACGTCCTCCCACTCTAACCACGCATGCGTGGCTCTGGGATCGCACAGCGCAGCGATCAGTGGTGCGCTGTGTTCCTCAGACACAGCAGATCACTGATCAATGGAAAGGGCTGAAGATGTCAGTTTGGTCAAGTGATCAGCTGTGTCCAATAACAGCTGATCGCATGTAAATAGGGAAATGCCATTTATCAGCATTTCTCTCCTCACGAGCTGTCATGCTGACAGTTGGAGGGGAGAGCAGAGCCGGTATTCGGCATTCCTCAGGGGGGACATGTACACTGATCATCAGGGCACTGAACAGTTGGAGGGGAGAGCAGAGCCGGTATTCGACATTCCTCAGAGGGGACATGTACACTGATCATCAGGGCACTGATGATCAGTGTAGCACCAGCAGTGCCACCTGTCAGTGTCCATCCATGCCACCTGCCAGTGCCCATCAGTGACATATCAATGCCTACCAGTGCGCATCAATGCCACATATCAGTGCCCATCTGAGCTGCCTTTCAGTGTCACCTATCAGTTCCAGTCAGTGCTGCCAATCAGTGTGTATCAGTGCCGCCTATCAGTGCATGTCAGTGCCGCCTAACAGTGCCAGTCAGTGCCACCTAACAGTGCCAGTCAGTGCCACCTGTCAGTGCCAGTCAGTGCCACCTATCAGTGCCATATATGAGTGCTACCTTTCAACAGTGTGGCCAAGCTGTCAGAAAAGGGAAATATATATATAGGATACATCACCAGAGAAGTCACCAGTAGGAGAAAGAAATCCGGCTTCAAAAGAATTTTGCAGTGCTTGGCAAACAAAATGTGTCAACATGGTGACGTCATTGCGTCCGGACAGAGCGTCCGTCAGTGTCCCCATGCTGGATTAAAGATGGCTAGACAGAGCTGCTAGCACTAAATGCATGCCCTGCGAACTCTGGGGATTTCAGCTTGCAGTGGAGGCATTAGATATGCAGCACTTACACCATCAACTAAAGGATAAGCTGGTGGCACTTTGAGGAAATGAGAAAGGAATCAATTTTGAGAGATCAAACACTTGCATGAGCTGAAAAGGGGTAGCAGTAAGTGCTTGATACATCCACATAGGAATCGCATCTAACATATACTATATTGCCAAAAGTATTGGGACACCCCGCCAAATCATTTGATTCAGGTGTTCCAATCACCTCCATGTCCACAGATGTATAAAATCAAGCACCTAGGCATGCAGACTGCTTCTACAAACATTTGTGAAAGAATGGGTCGCTCTCAGGAGCTCAGTGAATTCAAGCGTGGTCAAGTGATAGGTTGCCACCTGTGCAATAAGTCCATCAGTCAAATTTCCTTGCTACTAAATATTTCACAGTCACTTGTTAGTGGTATTATAACAAAGTGGAAGCAACTGGGGATAACAGCAACTCAGCCACGAAGTGGTAGGCCACGTAGTGAAGTGCGTAGAAGTCACCAACTGTCTGCAGAGTCAATAGCTAAAGACTTCCAAACTTCATGTGGCCTTCAGATTAGCATAATAACAGTGAGTAGAGCGCTTCATGGAATGGGTTTCCATGATTGAGCAGCTGCATTCAAGCCTTACATCACCAAGTGCAATGCAAAGTATCGAATGCAGTGGTGTAAAGCATGCCGCCACTGGACTCTAGAGCAGTGGAGGCGTGTTCTCTGTACTGACAAATCACGCTTCTCTGCCTGGCATCCGATGGATGTGTCTGGGTTTGGCGGTTCCTAGGAGAACGGTACTTGCATGACTGCATTGTGCCAAGTGTAAAGTTTGATGGAGGGGGGATTATGGTGTAGGGTTGTTTTAAAGGGGTTGGGCCTTGCCTCTTAGTTCCAATGAAGGGAACTCTTAAGGCGTCTGCATACCAAGACATTTTTGACAATGTCATGCTCCCAACATTGTGGAAACAGTTTGGGGATGGCTCCTTCCTGTTCCAATATGACTGCACACTAGTGCACAAAGCAAGGTCCATAAAGACATGGATGAGCGCGTTTGGGGTGGAGGAACTTGACTGGCCTACACAGAGTCCTGACCTCAACCCGATAGAATACCATTGGGATGAATTAGAGTGGAGACTGTGAGCTAGGCCTTTTCGTTCAACATTCGTGCCTGGCCTCACAAATGTGATCCTGGAAGGATGGTCAATAATTCCCATAGACACACGCTTAAACCTTGTGGACAGCCTTCCCAGAAGAGCTGAAGCTGTTATAGCTGCAAAGGGTGGGCCAACTCAATATTGAACCCAATGGACTAACACTGGCAACCATTAACATTCGTATCTGTTATAGTGCTTGCATACTAACCCTCACCTTATGTGCAGATTACATGTGGATGGAGTAACCTATAGACTTAGCGGTTTACTGCACTTATAAAATTCTTTATTATTCTGGATAACAGCGACCATCATGAGATAAGGATCAAACTCAACCCACATGCATTCTGCCACAGCTTGCTTATATTCTATGTGGACTTTCTAAACATATGTTTATTTATTTACTAATTCCTGACAATTTACTACTTTTTGCTTTTGCCTGCTCAGCTCTACGTTTTGCTTTTATGAGTGCTGGATGAACTTTAGGCTTGGCTAATGATCAGGGTGGTTTAGAAGCTACAGTATTTCCACTGCAGTAACTCTACCGAAACCCTTAATGTTTCTTTATGCTTTACATACTTAAGCTCAGAAACATTTGTGAAGTGCTTGTGATCTCATAGGGCTATCTGGACATGTGTTATTGACCTTATTCAGACTCTGCAATATGGATTGCATGTTTTAACTTTGTATGGCTGACATCTGTGTTGTTCCATGATTGAAAGATATTAGGAGCACTTAACTTGATAACTTTTAATGTTGGAATATTAATAAAGTTTTGTATATTTATAACATTAGTTACACTGCTTCGGTGTTCCATTATTACTTACTCTATGCAGTTTGTCCTGTACAGCTGTTCAGTATTATTTTTGTCCTGCTTCCCCTATTTAAATCTTTAGTTATCACTAGAGAGTTCACCAGCAGGAGGAAGGAGGTCCTGATTCCCCTTTATAGATCTTTATCATTTAGAATACTGTGTCCAGATAAACATATTCAAATGCGATACTTGCATAAAACATACTATATACCTCAGCGTTTTTTTCCTCATGCACAAATGTGACACCCCTATGTGCCATAAATGTGATTCAGAACATGGGGACTTCATTCATATGGCCTGGGCCTGCACTAAGGTCAGACCTTTTTTGGTCTGAGGTTTCTGTGTTTATTTCAGGTAATTTTGATCTCCCCAATGTTGTAGTCCTAAGTGGTGCCTCCTCGGGGTGTTCGATGTTCTCAAACTCACTGTTAAAGCTAAGCACTTTCTATGTATATTCTTTATTATGCTAGAAAGACCATTGTATTAAATTGCATACACTCTGATCCACTTCATATTGGTTTGTGGAAACTTTTAATTAACCACTGACTTATGAGGCAAGTGGGTGTCCAGGAAAGTTTACCAAGCTTTGGGTACCTTGGCTGGATACACAGGACACTAGTGACTCATCGCTACACTTCATTTCTGACCCTACACCATAGATATCCCACTTTCTTTAGTTGATCCTTATCCTCTTTTATTGATATTACTCCTCATTGGGCTGGAGCTAGATTTTGCGTTCTTTGATACATAAGTACTGAGATATTTTCCTTGTATATGCTGTTTGTTGCACAGTGATCCTTGTTTGTACTAATGTGACCTGTGTCGATTGTATGTGCACTTTTTAAAATAACCCTTTAAATTAGAAAAGAAAGAATACTATGTCCAGTTCTGGAGACCTTACAAAAAGATATTGATAAGAGAGAACGTGTCCAGAGACATACTATAAAAATGGTGAAAGGCCTGGGGGATAAAATGTATCAAGAGAGACTTCAGGAACTTAATATGTACAGTCTGGAGGACAGAAGAGAAAGGGGAGAAATAACTAAAACTTTTAAATACATCAAGGAGGCAAATAAGGTTCAGAAAGGAAGGATTTTCAATATGAAGCTTAGATCAAGAACACGGGGACATGACCTCAAACTAGCAGGAGAAAAATTCAAAACGAATTCTAGAAATTTTTATTTTACTGAAAGAGTTGTTGATGTTTGGAATAGACTTCCAGCAGAGGTAGTGAGTCAGTCAACAGTAAGTGGCTTCAAACATGTTTGGGAGAAGCATAGGACTATTGGGAAAAGGACATAGGACAAAAAAAGAGTTTAAATTAAAAATAAATAAATAAATAAATGGAGTAGACTCAATAGAACACTTGATCTTTTTTTGTTCCTACCATAACCCTTCTACATTTCTGTCTTCTGGTGCTTCATGGTGTTAGCGACTAGAAAAGACACAAGGTAGGTGAAATTTTAGAACACAAATATATTCTAAAGGGCTGACAGTGGTTCATTATGGCAGTTTGCCCAGGTATACATAAGGACAGGCTATTCAACATGCAGGTCCTACCTTTACTTTTCCTTCCACTTGCAAATTTAGTACATATCCCCCAAAGCAGTTTGAAACTAACCCACGTTTTCCTACATCTGTTTTTTTCACAGTTAAAATTTCTTTTTTGCCAGGAGGAGAAAGGGCCTCATTGAGCTGCCGTCATTTGTTTTTAATGATGTTTACATCAGCAGATGGGGTGACAGAAAAAATCACTTTTTAAACAGAATTTATTACCCACTGGCTGCTGCTTTAACTGTATCTCACGGACAGCCCTTAGTTTCCATGGTGATGCAGGGCCACTGCTAGCTATTGGTCGTTTAACCTCTTCCCTGTCAGAGGGATCATCAATTCATTGTATCTTAATATACAATATATAACAAGGCATGTGTCTTGTTTACATGCTTGTAAACCTCACATACCTGTTTTAGGCTGGATATTTAATGGGAAGATCAAATCATCTATATTTTTCTGTCATTGAAGTACTGTGTTTATTAATTAACCCATATAGTTACATAAATTAGTTTATGAAAAGCCAGCAGCAGCATATAAACTTTAAGTGGTGGTTTCAAAGAGCCTTTGTTTAAGCATTATCCAGTTATATCTATTATTGTCACTATACTGGTTACTTGTCCATGTGTACTCTGCAAGACACAGACATTGTCATTGGTTGCCTTTGTAAATATATTCAGACTGATTTAATGTAAGTATTATATTAGGGAAATGCAATACAAACATCACTTAAGTCATATTTTTCTTTGTTCTTTTTCTTCATTTTTTTTTTATTTGTTCACTTTAGTCACCGAGCATCCTGCTGCTTTTTATGTATAGCTGTTCCTCACACTGCATAAATTGGTGTTTAATATTTATTATTATTTACAATATCTATCTTTACACTTTTCTCCTTATTTCTCATTCACACTAAGGGGTTCCTGTGCAATTTACATGCAATTCTGTGCAGCACAATTTTAGCCCATTCATTTTGAATGGGCTGAAATCGCACGTCACCACACCAAACGTGGTACATGCTCCAATTTTGGGATTGCACTGCAACCGGACTGCATGATACTTTTGTACTGCATTTGCAAGCTGCGTTTGGGGTGTCATTAGGTTTGCACTGACACCCACTACAGATCATAAGGGCAGTGCGATTGTAAAGCAATACGGGAAGCTGGCATGGACCACGGGTCTCCCTCACCATGTTCTAGTGTGAATGGACCCTTATACTTATTTTTACATACATATTTATTTATTTTTCCTAATTTGTCTTTATTTTATTATTGTTCATTGGGACATGAGAACTTTATTTCATTTCTCTCATATATAACATGTTTTTGGAATGACAAAATTTATTTATTTAGGAATTTATTCCTTATCCTTATGCCTGTATTAAAAAAAAACAAAAGATAATTGCTATTTGGTAGTCCTTCTTGTGTGCAAGGTGTTCTGTGCAACGTGAAAGTTTGAGTTTAATGGTGAGATTTTTCTTTTACACTCTATTTTTGTGCCAGTACAGACCTTATGAAACATAACCCACATTAAAGCCCAACTCAAGCCAAAACTTTTCTTTTGTTTTTGGACAAGATAGAGAAGGGTTGTCAGATTTTTTAGTGGGTGGTACAGCTGTGGCAGTGGACTTTGGGAGTCATGGAACCTAGGTATACCTATAACCTGTTTCTGCATTAAAGTCTGTCTAAAGCTAGAATAAGGGATGGTTAAAATCAGTTTTTGTTTGTGTCCCTTTGGGGAAATTTTCTTTTGCTTACTCTCCCATGACTCAATAGACTATAGGAGCAGATCTTTCAAAAAGTAACAGAAATCCAATATTAGACACTGGGACATGTAACCTCACTGGAACATGTCCCCTCTATTGTTGCTCCAATGACAACATTTGATATCTTCCCTCACTTTCAATCATATTAGTGATGTCCACTAGGACAGAGAGAAGGTGAATCTCCCCAGTGGGAAACAAATGAAAATAAAAATATGAAAGGGATTCCAACCTTTTCCAAGTGTAGCCATACTGTAGTTTACGGAGTA